CATCTGCCTTTCTTTATCTCTTTTCATCTTCAGCAACTCCATGGTCAGGTTGCCACCATTTGTAGTAGTTGTTGTATGTGCTGAAGCTTGAGAACTGGATGCCTGTAATATGAATGATGAATCTGGCAGAGTGCCTTCAGTTTCTTCTCTAGGTACAGGCCTAGACTGCTGCATCTTTGAAGCATTGTACATCCAAAGTCTTGCACCTGTACACAGCCAATCATCACATGCTACCATCACTGGTGTATCATATTAAATACAATCTAAAAGAAATGGACAAAAGGATTAGAATTTACCTGAAAGACAACTGGTGTATCATATTCATCCTCTTGTTGCTGCACTGGGCAACATTCTGTGTGGCATTGACATCCTCCTGTGTAAGTTGGCCATCATCTTGTGTGACATGAACCTCCTCCTGTGTGACTTGCCCACCATCTTGTGTGACATGAACCTCCTCCTGTGTGACCTGGCCATCTTCCTGTTGTGCCATAACTGGTTCATCATCAGACACATCCTCAGGAATAGCCCTTGCCCCCCTTCTCACTGGTAGTTTTGGCAAAATGCCAGATTTTCTAGTATTACATCCTTTGATGTTGTGGCCTTGTTCATGGCAGTATGAACATGTTATTGTGCCTCCATGTCTGGTCAGTACCTTTGTGCCATCTTTCTTTTCAATCTCATAAGGCTGCTTTCTCCTACTCTTGTTTGAAGGCCTCCCTACTTTTTTTCATAGACAGGTGGTTTGATTTCACAACCATTCATCTTCTGCCACTCACTTCTATCTCTACAAGGCTTGATAATTGGTTTGTATGCTAACTTGAATGCTTCAATACTGTAGCAGGAGTGCACCAAACTCTCTGGGTCAATTCTCTCATGTCTGCAGCATGCAATTGCATGGTGGCATGGAACTCCACTAAGATCCCACCTTTTGCATGTACAACTCTCTTCCTTGAGGTTAACAGTGTATGTCTTGCTCCTGTTGTCAACCTGGAAAATGCCATCACCAGCCCCTGAGACCATGCATGTAGCTTCCAGCTCTATATTCCTTTCAATTCTTTTTCTTATTTTTGAGCATACGAACCAGGCCAGATCTTTGCCTCTTTTATTTTGTTGTAGAATTTGACCATTAGCTGAGTTTTGATCTTCTCAATCATTGATATGAGATGCATCTCCCTGGCCTTAAGAATATATTTGTTGAAAACCTCACAGTTGTTGTTCAGAAGGATATCACACATGACCAATTCTCTTTGGAAGCCCCTAACCCAAGTGTTGGGTGGTAGCTGCTCAAGCCATTTGTATGCTTCTAGGCTGATGACCTTCATTTCCTCCATGCTTGCAACCCACAGTTCTGGTGTTGTGCTCCTTGCACACTTCCATAACTGGTTCTTAAGAACATCTCCTTTGTGTGTTTGCTGAAAATTCTGCCATATATGCCTAACACAATGTCTGTGCTCTACATCAGAAAAGTGCGGCCTCACTCCCTTGATCAGCCCCTTTTGCTTGTCTGACATTATAATCTATGGCTCTGTGTTCAGAATTCGCAAGTCACTCTTCAGATTTGGCAGAAACCATTTCCATGTGTCAGTGTTCTCTACCTCAACAACTGCAAAAGCTAGAGGGTAGATGCAGTCATTAGGATCCATGCCAACAGCACACAACATAACACCTCCATACTTTGTCTTCAAGTGACATCCATCCAAACAAATGACAGGCCTACAAGCTTGCATGAAACCCCTTTTGCAGGCATCCAGAGAGAAATAACAACTTCCAAATATGCCATCATTGACACCTACATAGAAAGAGCTACCTGGGTTTGATCTTCTGAATTCTGCTACATAATCCCACATACTGTTATACTGCTCTAACTCATCTCCTTCAATGACTTTCTTCACTAGTCTCCTGGCCCTTCTAAGTTTGCTCCTTGTTGTTGTCATGTTCCAGTCCTTCTGAACAACCCTTGCAAAATTCTTCATGTTCATGTTTTCATCTGCTCTGAATGAATCAAGATATTTTCCTGCCATGAAGGGAGCAGTGAATGACTTGACACTCCATTTCTTTATGCAGGTATGCTTTGGGTTATACTTCTTGATCATGAATGAGTTGATTCTCCCATCAAATGATGCAAACAAAGACCATGGACACCCATCTTCACAAATGGTCTTAACTTTTTTCCTATCATTTCTAGGGCACTTGATGTCAACCCTTTCATGACAGCTATACTCCTTGATAGCCCTCCTCAGTAACTCAACACTAGCAAATGTCTGACCCACTTGGAACTCTGGTTTAGACAGGTCCTCTTCTCTGAAATATTTGAAATTCAGCTTAACCTTATCTTCATCAGAAGAAGGCAAGCACATGTCCACATCTTCAGTAGGATCATCAGCTTCTTCTTGGACTGCTTTACCTTTTTCTTTCTCACAATCAACATTTTTGTCAAACAAGTCATCATCATCTTGCAGATCAATGTCTGAATCAACAATTTGTGGAATGAAATCTTCATCTGAATCCTGCATTACTGAACAACCAACTGTATCTGCTGCATCCATGTTTAAAACCCTACAGCTTTTTCTTCTGCCCCTGAACTCAAACTGAAATGTATGCATGTACTCTCCTAGTTGAGGTGGCATTGGGATGTAATCCTCTTCTTCTGACTCTTCCTCACTTTCTAATAGTGCATCTTCAACTAGACCTTGCTCAACCTCATGATATTGATCTTGCTCAGCCTGCTCTTGTGCCACCACAACTTGCTCAACACTGTCCTCTTGCTGTTGATATTGATCTTGCTCAGCCTGCTCCTGTGCCACTACAACTTGCTCAACATGGTGCTCTTCCTGTTCATCTTGATCACACACTTGCTCTTTCTTTGGCCTACTTCCACTAAATTTGGCAAATGGAGGATCCTCATCATCAGAATGAACAGGAACAGGTGAAATATATGATCTCAGGCTCTCATCATGATTAAGAAATATTTGCTGAAAATGATTCCCATTCAAAACACAATCCTTCATGTTCTCTGTCATAGTGTTGTCTCCTATCTTAATCTCTCTTAATCCATTCTTGTACATTGTCAATCCTAGGAACACACCAATAAGCCCTGATCCTGCCCTCAAACTCATACCCAATTTCATCCACTAGACTAGCAACAACAGTAGGTGTCCAGTTATCTATGTCACAGTAGTCATACCAAATGGAGTGGCCTTTGTGATAATCGCTATGCTTGCCTGCACAAAGGAAATAGCCACCATGTATGACCTCAACAGAGAAGTGGTTGCTTAGGGGTCTTGTAAAACATCCAAAGTGGCATTGTTCAGACAAGATAAACAGAGTCATTTATGAAGGTTCAGTCAAGCTAAAAATGTTCAGTTAACTCCAAAAGTTCAGTTATTGTATGAAACCACCATTAGCTCAGTTAACTGAGTAAGCAGGACCTAATCAAGGGTACTTAGCAAGCAGTAAAGAATGTAATTGGACCAAAACAAGCAAAGTGGCAATGCTTAGTGTCAATGTTCAGTTACTGTACTAAATCAAGTTCAGACATTTCAATATTCAGACAGGTTAACACATACAAATTCAGTTATCTTACAGAGCAAAATTCATACATGTTGCAGAAAAAAAGCACTGATTCATGGCCTCCACTAAACAACTATACGATCTTTCATGGGCAAAATGATCATCTCATGCGCAAAACGCCTTATGATCAACAACCAGGCCATATAAAGCAAAGAAACAGGGGAGAAGCGAGCATGGCCTTCCCCTAACATATCCAAAATCAAACCCTAATTTTGCTCTGCAAACCCTAGATCATCTCCAACTACAACATCCATAGCCCATAAGAAACCCTAACTTTGATATGTGGCCCTGCTCATCGTCCGCTGCTAAAACCCTAAACCCTACACCATCCGTGGCAAAAGGGGAGAGAAATAGCCCAAACCTAAGCACCTATGCGCAATTGACTCGAACGCAAGCTCTTCCCCGGAGATTTCATGGACAAATCGAGTACAGAACGTGCCGACAACGGTGACGTACCATAGAGGGGCGGCAAGGCATGGTCGTCACGACGCATCGGTGCGAGAGGGACGTCACGCAGCCCCTCCCAAATGGCGTGGACGGCGGCGGCGCAGCGTCCGACGATGAGCTCATGGGGCCATCGCCACGCTCGCCCACGCCGGCGACGTCAAGGCAACCACCTCGGCAGCGACAATGAACCAGGGGAGAAGCAAGAAGCAGGGGAGAAGCGAGACAGGGAGTGGCTCGGTCGGACCAGGGGTGGCTCGATCCGACCAGGTGGGGGGGATCTTTTAATAACTGACAGTTTTGCAAAAAAAAACTCGCATGCATGCGTATTCGAGCGAGCTAGGCACATGTGGCAGTCAAAGAACAGTTGGCAGCGGTTGACTAGCGCCAACTCAGCACATACGTACACAAAACCGTATAATGGACCGCAGATGACCCCAAGTGCAAGTTTGGTGACTGTATTTCGGGTATTTGTAACCACAGGGACTAAAGTGAACACCAACGCAAGTAATAGTCGTGGTGGGGTGCCTGATCTGGAGTTCGATGGCGTGTTCGGGGTGTTGCCCGGTCTAGTTCGTTCAACGGCAATGGCTTCATTTTTGGTGAGCCACCTTGGAGGTCCGCAAAGCTGTATATCAGCAATGGAGCCGCGTCGAGTTCGGGTGAGGAGGTGATCCGTCATTCTTTTCTTCGGTGGCTGCTGTGGTGGTGCCGAAGGCAGCTGACAGGCGTTGGTGTCAAGCTCAGAGATGTTCTACCATCCTCTCAGTTTTGTCATGTCGGTCTTTACGTGTCTTGTACTTTGTTTTTTATGATATGAATGAGACATGTATTACCGTGAAAAAAAATAACCCTGTAGTGAATTTTTCTCCAGCGAAAACCCCGTTCTCAAACGAACCGGCGATTAAAACCCCATCGCGATCTGGTGCGGTGGCCTCTCCCGTCGCCATTCCTCCGCCGCCGCGCTCCCACTCCCGCTCCCCACGATGCGGCACCTCCTCCTCTCCCGTCTCCTCCGCCGCGCCTCCTCCCCCTCCCAGCCTCACCACAACCTCCAACTTATCCGTGCTTTCTCCTCCTCCTCCCCTCTCCCGGCCTCCGACACCGACCTCCGCAAGTACGCCGGCTACGCGCTCCTCGTCCTCGGCTGCGGCGCCGCCACCTACTACTCCTTCCCCTTCCCGCCCGACGCGCTCCACAAGAAGGCCGTCCCCTTCAAGTACGCGCCCCTCCCCGACGACCTCCACACCGTCTCCAACTGGAGCGGCACTCACGAGGTCCACACCCGCGTCCTCCTCCAGCCCGACTCCATCCCGGCGCTCGAGGATGCCCTCGCCACCGCCCACAGGGAGCGACGCAGGCTCAGGCCCCTCGGCTCCGGGCTGTCCCCCAATGGCCTCGGGCTCTCCCGGGCCGGCATGGTCAACCTTGCGCTCATGGACAAGGTGCTAGACGTCGATGTCAAGAAGAAGACCGTCACGGTGCAGGCTGGGATACGTGTCGCCGAGCTCGTCGATGCGCTCAGAGAGCATGGGCTCACATTGCAGAACTTTGCGTCCATTCGAGAGCAGCAGGTCGGCGGCATCATTCAGGTCTGTTCAATTGGGGAAAGCCATTCCCTCCATACATGCGATGAGCTCTATTAGTGAATTTCGATATTACAATGAAAATCGTCAAAATCACTTAGCATAAATTTGGTTGAAGGTGCTCTATGGCATGCTTCACATTTGCAACACTGCAAGAGTTACTGTTATATTCACATACAAGCAAGAAAGCATCGTCTCATAGCCTGTGCAGGGATTCAAACACACTTAATGTAGAACTAATCTATTGCTTTAGCCATCGACGGTTGACAAACTTTTGCATGTATTGTACTGGTTGATTCGGTTCATGTCCTTGCACCTACTAATATATGGGCTAGATGGGCCTTTCTAGTTCACAGACAGATCAATCGGCAGAAAATGGTTAATAAGACTCAAGGCTATCTTTGGTCGAGTCTTACCATTTAATTAGGTCTTTCTTTTTTATATTTCTTACTAAAATATTCTCTAATGCAACCTCCATCCCAAATTACTTCTCTTAAATTTATCTAGATACGGATGTATCTAACACTAAAATGTGTTTAGCTACATCCGTATCTAGACAAATCTACAACAACAACAAAGCCTTTAGTCCCAAAGAAGTTGGGGTAGGCTAGAGCTGAAACCCATAAGAATCTTGCAACCAATTCATGGTTCTGGCACATGGATAGCAAGCTTCTACGCACCCCTGTCCGTGGCTAGTTCTTTGGTGATACTCCTCAGATCTCTCTTTATGGACTCCTCCCATGTCAAGTTCGGTATCTAGACAAATCTAAGACAAGTAATTTGGGACGGAGGGAGTACTTGAGATTTGAGAGGATATAATTTATTTGCTTTTCTTCATAATGTATTCTTACTGAGTATATTATTTCTTTTAAATTTAATTGCACATGGCTATGTTTACCATCTGCAGATGTTTTTAATGTTCTTTTTAACATAGAACCATGTATTTCTATTGAAGATTGAAAACTGCTTTGATTAGTATTGCTCTTTTTTCGGAGGAACAAGCATTTGCTCAAAGGAGCTGTGAATAGGATATTAATTATGGTTATGGATAATTACTCCTGTACATGCGCTATGCAAGGAGTTGTATCGCTGATATTTGGTAGTACTAGAATGAAAATTGGAAAATCATTTGGCACAAATTTGATCGAAGATATTCGATGAAACGCTTCACATTGGCAACACTGCATTAGTTACTGTTTTATTCGCATAAAAGCTAGAAAGCATCGCCTCATAGCCTGTTGCAGGAGTTCAAACATGCTTAACGTAGTGACAGATGGGGGTTCCAGAGAGTGGCAAAACTTTCATGTTAATTTTACTAGGAGATTCAGTTCATGTCCTTGCACATACTAACAGAAGGGCTAGAGCGGTCTTTCTAGTTCAGACACATCAATCAGCAGAAAATAGTTAACAGAAAGACCGAAGTTCCTCTTCGGTCGAGTCTTATCATCCGGGTCTTCCATTTTTAGATTTCTTACCCAGAAGTTCTCCGATACTTGAGGTCTGTGAAGAAGATAGACTTAATTTGCTTTTCATAAGGGGAGATTCTCTAAGCCCTGTCTTTGTTATATATTCATTGCACATCCTTACAAAAAATTTACCAGCTACAAATGTTTTTGACATTCTTTGTAACATGGAATTCCACGTGTTTCTACTGAAAAGAACCTCTTTCGTAGTACTGCCCATTTTTTGTGAGAGAGAGATAAGTATATTTGCTGAAAGGAGCAATGAGTAGAATATTAGTTATGAACAGTTCTTATGGCATCAAAGTAACTATGTACTGCCATTTGTTTTCACTGTGCATACTAGCTTTTATTCGTGCTAACTGCTTATCATCTGAATATGTATGCCCAACTTTACTCGCCCTACTGCTTGAGGGATCTAATTGCTTTATTGGTATTGCTCTACAACTTGTGTCAATGAAGCTTAACATCCACTAATTTCAGTTTGGACATGATATGAATATGCGTAACTAATTTCAAATGTTAAATTCTTGATTGCTGTGCGTGCTAACTGCTTATCATCTGAATATGTATGCCCAACTTTACTCGCCCTACTGCTTGAGGGATCTAATTGCTTTATTGGTATTGCTCTACAACTTGTGAATGAAGCTTAACATCCACTAATTTCAGTTTGGACATGATATGAATATGCGTAACTAATTTCAAATGTTAAATTCTTGATTGCCTACAGGTTGGTGCCCATGGTACTGGTGCGAGATTGCCTCCAATTGATGAGCAGGTTATTAGCATGAAACTGGTTACTCCTGCCAAAGGGACGATAGAGTTATCAACGGAGAAAGATCCTGATTTGTTTTATCTTGCCCGTTGTGGACTTGGTGGCCTAGGAGTCGTTGCAGAAGTTACTCTTCAGTGTGTAGAAAGACACCAACTTGTTGAGCATACTTTCGTTTCTAATGCAGATGAAATCAAGAAAAACCACCAGTAATGCTACACATCTCAGTTGCTTAGTCTGTATACAGTTTTAGTATCTTTTACTAGAGGAATGTCTAACTTCCTTGCTTTCCTGCCCTTTTCAGGAAATGGCTTTCTGAAAACAAACATATCAAGTACTTGTGGATTCCATATACTGATACAGTTGTCGTTGTCCAATGTAATCCTCCTTCAAGATGGAAAACTCCAAAGTTGGCATCAAAATATGGAAAGGATGAAGCCCTACAGTATGTTCGTGACCTTTACCGAGAGTCATTGAAGAAATATAGGTGCGAACACTTGGTGTGGTTCGATATATAAATTGCACTGTTTCCTTGATTTTCTGTATGGAAACTTCATCATAACTCTTTCTAGGTTAACCGGAGAGCACATTACAAGTACTCTTGCACTTTTACTGTGTGTGCGCTTGAGTACTAACAAACTTCACTTAGATTTTCTACACTTATGCAGATATTCTTTTGTATCTGATTACCTGAGTGAATCAGCTAAATATTCCCTTCGTTAGAAACTGAAATGGTAGGGAGCAAGTGATTACTCTGGCTACCAACTGGCCATGGTGTTTTTAGTTTGCTCTTACATGTTTTAGTCTGAATTTGACCTTTCCAGCTTGAGACCCTGGTCACTTTGTTGTGGCTCGTACAGAAAGGCATGGGGGGCTGTGATGTTTGTAGGAAGAGTCGCTTATGTCATAAGTTATACAAGAAGTGTCAGGTTGAACCTTTTTGTCTGCTTGTTAGGCATTCAGTTGTGCTACCTTGAAATGATAGACAAATTGAAGGTGTATGCAGCCAAGTAAAATATTGAATATATGTTAGAACCACTTGCAGCTTTACTCAAAGGAGCTAATTTTGAATTTATTTGCACTAAAATTCTAGCTTTACTCAGGAATAGCCGATTTTTGTTTTGTTTTGGTTTCTAGCTTATGCCACCTTATAGATGTTTTTCAGAACTGAAGCCGACAGTAAAGACCCAGCGATAGATCAACTTTCATTTACTGAATTGAGGGATCAATTGATCGCCCTTGATCCTCTGGATAAAGATCATGTGATCAGAATTAATAAAGCAGAAGCTGAGTATTGGAAGAAGTCTGAGGGATATCGCATGGGCTGGAGTGATGAAATACTAGGTTTTGATTGTGGTGGGCAGCAGTGGGTTTCTGAAACCTGCTTCCCTACAGGAACTCTAGCGAAGCCAAACATGAAGGATTTATATTATATGGAGGAGTTGCTACAGTTGATTGAGAAGGAGGATATACCTGCACCTGCACCTATTGAGCAGCGTTGGACTGCCCGCAGCAGGAGCCCTATGAGTCCGGCATCAAGCTCTGAAGAAGATGACATATTTTCATGGGTAACTTGTTCTTCTGCCACATTTTATTGTTGTGTTTTAATGTTGCTGTGAGTTACAAAAGTTCTAAAGTTATACCGGATTCACAGGAGGGCGTGTTCTATTTCCATGCAATAATTTAAGATTCAACTCAATTCAGATTTGCAAGATATCAAAAAGGCAAATGCTTACCAAGTTACTGAACAATAACACTGTCACAGTTCCAGAAGTATTTTTCTCGTATTGACCCAAATGAGATTTCGGTTTATCTTAATTTTGTGTAGAAATGTAGAACATGTTCTATTCTTATTTGGTACTCCCTACAATCCAAAATAAGTGTCGCAGTTTTGAACTAAGATTGAACTAACCATAGTTCAAAACTGTGACACTTATTATGGATCGGAGAGAGTAATTCTTTTAGGATATATTTTAAACTTTAGAGGACATTTCCCCTGTATAACTCAGTTCAAACTGTGATATTTGATAAGTACTTTACAAGCCAATGAAAAGCTTTGCTATTCTCAACATTATGTCATTTGTACTTCATAGATACCTACATAAATCAGTATGTATAGGTGTCAGTATCGGTAATAAATTAATAATAGTCATGGAAGAACTTTGGTTCATGCTACTTTGTCGAATACATGGAAAATTTTGTAGATGAATCTGGCAAAACTCAATTGTTTACCATGAGACAAGGTTTTATGCAGTTTTTACCATGTTTCAACTTTTAGTTAGTCCTCTTAAAATACTTACAGTGGTAATGTAATGCAGGTTGGTATAATAATGTATTTACCAACATCGGATCCTCGCCAAAGGAAGGATATTACCGAGGAGTTCTTCAACTACAGAAGTCTGACGCAAACTAGTCTCTGGGATGATTATTCTGCATATGAACACTGGGCTAAAATTGAGGTACCAACTTTAACTATCACCTGCAAGATTCGTGCACCTACTACCATTTGGTGTTTGTTAGTAAGCATTGCTGCAGACGTTGTGGAAGATTAGCATCATACCTGTTCATTTCAAGAGAATCATCTCTTCTGTTGCAGGCATAGCAGTGGCCTGCTAAACTGTCTTGCAAGCGTTATTGACAAAATGGTTTGCTTCCTAACGAATTCTTTCTGATTCTTCTCAGGTTCCGAAGGACAAGGATGAACTTGCTCAACTGCAGGCTAGGTTGCGGAAACGCTTCCCCGTTGACGCGTATAACAAGGCGCGCATGGAGCTGGACCCTAACAAGGTTCTCTCCAGTGCCAAGTTAGAGAAGTTTTTCCCAGGAATGCAGACTGTCCAACATGCAAAGTAAAGGTGTTCTGATTGATGGCATGCTGAAGGCACAGAGCTTTATCATAATGTGTATCTTTTTTTTTTTGCCCTCTGGAGAAATGTACTCTTCCAAGTTGGATTCTGTCGTTGATAGTTGGATCAAAAGTCAAAACTATCATGCTGATGTGCGGGTGGTTTACATGATTATAGCCGCCGGCTTCCGAGTTAATTTCTTTGTAGAACTTGCTTGGTTGGTAGAGCCGTAGAGGTAGTTTTTTAGTGCTCTCAGGTTAAGCGCTTGTTGCAGGAGGATGTCTTTGGTTCATGACTAAACAATCTATGCTTATCTATGGTACTATATATCATCCTCTGTTGAAATAAGTTCTGAGGAAGAACAAATTGATTCGGTTCAATGTGCAGCTGGAGAATTTTTTTTAAACCAAAATTTTAACAAATCATCGTGTTGTGATTGCGCGATCGTACCGAGCCACTATGGTTGGCTGCGTTTGGCGCTGCGGTGGATTTTCGTAATCTTGTTTGCCCTATTGGTCCCTATTTGCTTGATCTACT